CAGCCCTCCCAGCATCTCCGGGGCCTCCTCTGGCCTCTCTCCAACAGCTCTGTGTCCTCCCTGTGCTGGGGACCCCAGAGCTGTTCCCAGCCCTGCAGGGGGGTCTCAGCAGAGCAGAGCAGAGGGGACAATCCCCTCCCTGGCCCTGCTGGTCACGCTGCTGGTGACACAGCCCAGGACACGGGTGGGTTCTGGGCTCCAGGGCACGGTGCTGGCTCATGTTGAGCTTCTCCTCACCCAGCACCCCCAAAGCCAAAGAATGAGAAGTTCAGGCTCTGCAAGGGGTACAAGCACTGCAGGGGACTGGCAACAACATCTTCTCAGTTATACAACCTGAATTAGGAGGTCAGTCATTAACCAGCTGCCCACAGCTCCTGGTGGTGCCAGGAGGCTGGAGACCTCCTGCAGTGCAGGTACCTGCAGGGTTTGCTGGTGACAAACTCCTCTGGGTTGCTGTGCCATGGGGTGCACTTTTCAGGGCTTTGATGATTTCACTGAGAGGGGTTAAGCAGAGCAGAGAACCTTCCCTGGCAGTGCTGAAGGGCAGGTTGGATGGGGCTTGGAGCAGCCTGGGCTGCTGGGAGGTGTCCCTGCCCATGCAGGGAGCTGGATCTAGGATGATCTTTTAGGTCCCTTCCAACCCAAACCAGTCTGGTTTATAAGTCCATCTTTTGGGGCAGTCAAGGCTCTGAGCCCCCTGGACATGTTGACCCATGATGGCCAATTGCTCCAGGACCTGGTGCAGCCCTTCCCCTGCCAAGGGGCCCACGTCGGGTTGGCCAAGTGGAGAACAGCCTGCGTGGAGGGGAAGGGACAAAGCTCTTGAGCTCAGGATAACCAGAGGCCCCTTCTCAGCCTGCCACACCCTGACCCCCCTTCTGCTCCCCCGCTGCTGGGAACCCCACCTCCCCCGCTGCTGGGACCCCCACCCCAGCCCCAGCCAATGGCCCCGCGGGGCAGCACGGGGAGGAGCTGCCAGCAGGGGATAAAAGCCTCCCTGGGGTCTGCAGCTCCTGCACAGGGTCCGTGTCCTCCTGCAGCTCCCAGCAAAGCCTCCTGCCACCATGGTGCACTGGACAGCCGAGGAGAAGCAGCTCATCACCAGCCTCTGGGGCAAGGTCAACGTGGAGGAATGTGGTGCCGAGGCCCTGGCCAGGTAGGTCCAGCTGCTGGGAAGCTCCTCAGCCCTGGGTGGAGAAGCTGTGGCAGCTGCATTTGGGAACATTAACCTGTCTGTGTCTGCTCGTGTCTCCTCTGCCTCTTCCCCAGGCTGCTGATCGTCTACCCCTGGACCCAGAGGTTCTTTGACAACTTTGGGAACCTCTCCAGCCCCACGGCCATCACGGGCAACCCCAAGGTCCGTGCCCATGGCAAGAAGGTGCTCACCTCCTTTGGGGAGGCCATCAAGAACCTGGACAACATCAAGAACACCTTCTCCAAGCTGTCCGAGCTGCACTGCGAGAAGCTGCACGTGGACCCCGAGAACTTCAGGGTGAGTTGGGTTTTCAGTCCCAGCCCCAGTCCCTGGGTCGTGTGGGGAAAGTCAGATGTTGCTTTGACACTGGGGGTGTCACCTCCCCTGTCTTGGTGTTCTTCCTTTGGCTGGGGGAGGAAGGGTCCCTGCGTGGCACCCCAGTGAGGTGACACCTTCTGCAGGGCTGCTTGGAAGGGTGGGGGTGACTTTCACCCTTTAAAAATCCCATTTTTAGTAACCAGCACAGAAATGGGGAGGAGAAGGTGTGGGGAGATTGCCACCCAAGGGAGATCTGGCTGGGGAGACAGGAAGCAAACTATGGGTCTCTTCCAACCTGAGAGGTTCTGTGGTTCTCTGAACCCAGGGGAAGGTGCAGTGTGGGCTGGAGGTGGAGGCAGGAGAAGCTGGGCAGAGCATTTGAGGAAACCAGAGGTTCTGCTGCAGCCAGCCTGCCCCAGAGCCACGAGGCCTTGCCCAGCATGGGCTGCCTGGGACACTCCCTCCTCCTCACCACTTTTAAATAAAAAAAAAAACTAAAACAAAAAACAATGCAGCAAACCAACAGCATTTTGCAGTGTGGATCTCAGGCCAAATTGCTTCAGCATCCCCCAAAAGAGGGGGAGAACAGTTTCAAGGTCCTCGGGGAGGAGGAGAAATTCTGGGCTGTGAGGGTGGGGAGAGCCTGGCCCAGGTTGCCCAGGGAAGCTGTGGCTGCCCCATCCCTGGGGGTGTTGAAGGGCAGGTTGGATGGGGCTTGGAGCAGCCTGGGCTGCTGGGAGGCGGCCCTGCCCGTGCAGGGGGCTTGGATCTAGATGATAAGGTCCTTCCAACCCAAACCATTTAATTATTCTGTGATTCCCTGCCCATGAGCTTTAAGATCCTTCCAACCCAAACCTGCCTGGGATTCTGGGATTCCATGCTTGAGTCCTTTCAGAATGGGAATTCAGCCTGGGGGAGAAGTCAGGAGAAAGGAAAGGCAGGGGGTGGGTTGCAGGGAGGTGGGGAGAAGGGGGAAGGAGAGGGAGCAGGGGCTGGAATCCTGCAGCAGGAGAGGCAGGAGATGGAGCTTGTGGGAGGGAAGAAGCTGTTGAGAGCTAAAGCTGTGTCAGGACAGGTGGGGTTGCTGGAACTGTGTGCAGCAGGAGCTCAGAGCCTCCCTGGAGAGGTTGTGAGTCCCACAGCTCAGCCCCAACTCGGGGTCCTGCTGCAGCACCAGGGGAAGAGCAGCACTAACCTCTCCCTTTTCCTCCTTCTCCTCCAGCTCCTCGGGGACATCCTGATCATCGTCCTGGCTTCCCACTTCGCCAGGGATTTCACCCCCGCTTGCCAGTTTGCTTGGCAAAAGCTGGTCAATGTGGTGGCCCATGCCCTGGCCCGCAAGTACCACTGAGCACCCAGGGAAGGGTCCCAGCTCCACCACGAGCCCCTCGGGGCACCGGGGAGATGATGCCCTTGGTGTGTTAACCCCCAAATAAATGCCTCCCTGCACCACCTCTGCAGAGTGTCCCTGTGTCTGTTGCTGGGGAAAGAGGGGAACCAGGGGGGCTTCTGCTGTGCCATCCACCAGTGGGGGGTTTTCCCATTCCTAAATGTCTTTAAAGTTGAAAAGGGGAGATTCAGGGTAGATACAGGAGAGAAATTATTCACTGTGAGGAACAGGTTGCCCAGGGTGGGTGGCCCATCCCTGGCAGTGTTGAAGGGCAGGTTGGATGGGGCTTGGAGCAGCCTGGGCTGGTGGGAGGTGTCCCTGCCCATGCAGGGGGGGCACTGGATGCTCTTTAACCCAAAACAGTCTGGGATTCTGGGGTGTGATGCTAAAAGCTGTTTCAGACAGAGTTTCCTTAACTCTGCAGTGCTCTCCCATGGGCGCTCCCTGCCAGTGCATGGAGGGGTTGGGATGGGGAGGATGCTTGTGAAGACATAACCCATGGAAAGGGCCCTGACACCCAGAATGGTTCCAGAGAGGGTGACAGGAACAATGAGGGGTTGCAGAGGGATCCACACCTGCCCTCCCAGCTCCACACTGATGTGAACCAAGGCACAGGGGCACAGACCCTCAGCCCAGCACCCCTGCACCCAGGGAGCTGGGACCTGCCCTGCTGCAGGGCTGAGGATGCACCCTGGCCTTCCAGACAACCTAGCACATGAGGACAGCTTGGACTCTTGTGAGGTTCAGGGGAATGTTCTCTTCTTCTAACTCCTTCAGCTAGCCTAAGAGGAGATGCTGCTTCCACAGGGGCACTGATTGTGCTGGTGCACATGGCAGAGCCTCACCCCCAGAAACCCTCAGTTTTTAGCATAGAAATATGGAATCCCAGACTGGTTTGGGTTGGAGGGACCTCAGATCCAACCCAGTGCCCCCCCTGCATGGGCAGGGACACCTCCCAGCAGCCCAGGCTGCTCCAAGCCTCATCCAACCTGGGATGTTTCCAGCTTCCAGGGACGGGGCAGCCACAACTACAACTGCACCACAGCACAGATTGGACAGATTTCACCCTAGGAGGTTTGTTTCT